TGGTACGGATCGGTGAATCGGCAACGAAGGTGCAACACCATACGGATCGGTGATACTCTTTACCGAACCTATAATGGGAGTACTGATTTTGGTTACTTATACCCCGATTTGGAAGTCATGAATACTCAGGTGAGTCAAGGAAGCCTATTTCGAGGCGTATGGATGAGGTTGTCGATTGGATAAACACTGGATAATGATATGGGAGCACGTACAATGAGACGGAAGAGCGTGCATCACCGATCTATACCGGATCGATCTCCAATGTCTCGATAATGAGCAACAGATTGGTCATATTCCACACTGATCTTGGATATGTGGTTGATGAAGATACTGGATCATGTAAATATACTTGATGGAGGTCCCTGAGTGATGTTGAGAGATTTCAGACCGAAAGAGCCAGTTGATGCCGTCCGAATAGACGTCGCAAAATGGATTTGGACACACTCGGCATTTTGGGTCATATATTATGTACTTCGGCGCCAAGAATGGGTATTTGGTACCATATCTGAGATTTGGGTGCATTTGGTGTTCAAGGTACAATATCGGGAATGCTGGCGCTATCATGTGGTACAGGGCACGAAATTTCGACATTGCAAGAGGGCGATCCAGATTCAAGGTGATGTCGGTTTGGAGAGTGACCTACAGTTAAACATAGGTTTAAGGGTAGGTTGGTGAATAAACAGACTTGAACTCTACTTCTTTTACACACTCCACACGTCCCCCCTTTCCAGGAAAGATTTCGTTGGCTTCCCGACGGCTCAAGGCACGCGTGTTCAAGGACATTAAAGACCGATTCTGTATTTGTTGGTCAAGATCGAATGAAGAGCGATCTCGGGAAATTTGGCCCGGATCGATCAAGTACTCACTCTCAGCTTAACTGCTACGGTAGCAGCAACAACGGACAAGGCTTTTGGACACAAGATCGCGAGACGTCTCAAGTGCTTAGAAGATTTGAACAAGGATTTTAAGACAAGACCAAGCAAGACTCAGCGATCGACAGGACAGGTCGGCACGTTTCATTTTGGCGAAGCGCAAGTTCTATATGGACTAAGCTGCGCACTTCTGACAAGAGCGGCCGATGTCGAAACCAGATCGGACCGATCTCAAGGCAAGATCGATGCAGAATTATTTTAATTGCTGAGTGAAGCTTCCCGCACAGTGAAGACCCCGATGCCTACAACAAGATCGAGATTGGTGCAATCCAGGATTGACATTGCGACATTTCAGAATAAGGGATCACAGCGACTCACGATCAAGGTTGCAGAACCCGGTTCGTGGTGTGAAGATTTCCGCACCGGAAGCAAACTCTCAACCCCAAACCCCATCGAAAGCGATATCTACCGGGGTCATTACGAAGAGCTCAAGCCAGTCAAAACGACGGGAACAAAAGGTGAGCGCAAGGTTATACTGCAATGCACGTATCGGAGAACCCCCTGCGTGAATCGGCAAGTCTGGACAAGTGGAAAGTAGACGATCACATCTGCGAATTGTGAGATAGACTTCACCACACGAGGCTGATGACCACCTTCGCTATAGAAGAGATACGGCTTTTATAAGTGCGCTTGGTGCGCTCTTATGTAAACACAACATAGTCAGCAGAGAACTTTCTTTTGACTCGAGAAGCAGTATTTGTTTTGTGCAAGACACCATCTATAACGCGGTGGACCTACAGTAGCGAAACGCTGACAAACATGAAAGACTAAACGTATTTCTATTTACTGTCGGAGATTTATTTCTACTGCCTACGGTAAATTTACAAAGTTAAGAAGTAACTATTGTGGGTAGTAGTACACTACTTCCCAAGTGGACTCGCACGTGGTCAACGCTTTCAAGTGGAGCGTATCTTGAACCAACGCTACGTGAAGGAGCAGCACATTCTTATCTTGCTCGCTGGCGGGGCAATCCGCCATCGCATGACAGCTGGGAGCCTCGCGCCAGCTGATGGTTGGCGTTGGAGCTTAGTCCACCAGTACGATATGACTCATCCGATGAATAAAAATCTATCGGAGACACGCGCCCATGCCACTGGTAGAGCGAATTCGGGTTAGCAATTGCATCGCGCATCTCAGAAGAGATGTGCGCCGTACCCCGGGGCGAAGAAAGGAAGTACACTTTATTCGGCTGCGTTGCGCGTTGTCAAAACGACACGGACCTGAAATGCCTCATGAGACATATAGTGCACGCTGACTTTTGCACCCGTTCAGGCTGCTTTTTAATTCTGACACGAGGAGCGTCAAGTTTTCGAAGCCATACACTACACTTTATGTGCTGCATATTGAGCATGAAGGCATTCTACGCCTGTGGCAACGAGGTTTTTCCTCGTTTGTTGTTGTCGCTGTACCATTAATGATTGAAAATAGCATCGAGACACAAGTCTTCTTTAGCGCTAAAGTTGCTCGCGCTGATGTCAAGGCTGTGCAACAGCCTTGCATCGAATAATGGGTTTCGATAATGTTGACTTGAATCGCCTAACTAGTCGTTCACAAGCATCTCTTGTAGTACCCAAACCTTGTGTTCGGGGTCTAGACGCATAACAATGCCATTTAAAGCCTTTTGCGTGATATCAACGATTGTCATGGCATCACTACAATCTTCATCACAACGTTGCAAAGCATCACCGCATTCGACAGAAAGCGAATGCGCAGTAGCAGGCGCAGGGAATGGGTCATACAGACCATTATCCAAAATAATAGTCTCTCGCAGTGACCATGAGCCGACCACCCGCTTGATTTCTAGATGTAGTCTCGTATTCGATCGCTCGTTGAGACTCGGGAGTTCCAAATGTCTTCTCTGATTCGATATTGCCGTCCGACCCCCCATACAGATGAGATTTACTTGGATACAATTATTATCATCATCACGTGGTGACACACCACGTACCTCTGCAGCAGCTGATGCTGCATGGAGAGTTCAAGTGGGAGCAGGCGTTGCTTTATCTGCTGCAAGAGGGTGGGCATCGCCTAGTGCAGCCGCGTTGACACGCGCAGCTGCTTTCTCAGTACTTCCGCTGCGCATCACATGGACTTATTTACCATGCAATAAAGATCCAACAATGAGTGTATCATACCGAGACAAGTGCTTACTGTCCCTGATGTGGTCTGACAGTGACCACATCAACATGATATTGACTGAGTAAGTATCGGTAAAGGGGGGCGTGATATAACGGGCTGGGTCTGTTACATTTAATTAGGCTTGATACATGTTGATTAGAATATATCATAAAGGTTGACAATGGTCGTGAATATTAACACTAGGGGTAATATTCCGAAGCACTCACCGATTGGCTAATTTGGGCCATAACATCAGCCAACTCTAGCGGTCAAATAAACGATAGACGCGCGCGATCAGCAAAGAGCAAAACTTTAGTATAACTTCTTGTAGGTAAATATAATTGAGTTATGACGAAACATAGGTACATGTAATCAGGACTTAATTATATTTCATTAGGTTTTACTTTTTACAACTACATAACGCGTCATTTACTAGCTAGCCTTCCTCTGCACCAACGGTGTACGTAGGATGACGCGCGGCACTACCTACACTGTTGTCAGTGTAGGTACACTAGTACTAAAGCAGTATTAGTGACCAGTGGCCGATCACAATAATAGTACCAGCGTATGTTTGGAGCGGAATGTTTCTAAAATCGCGGATCTGGTAATCCACCAGCCACATTGGTGATGCGAGAAATCTCAGCAACTTGTGTCGCTTTATACTCATTGGGAGCTCAAAGGGTGAAGCTTCTATTGACTATGCGCAAATTTCGTGAAAATACAGACCTTGAGTCAGTCCCTCAAAAAAACGACTTTATCAAAGAAATTTTTTGAAGCTTAATTCCTTTTTAAAAATGCATTATGCATGTTTAATATTGTCAAGCGCTGGTTAAAGCTGGACCAGACTCCTCTGCAAATTTGCACTATATTTTACAGCTTAGGCTTGTTTAGAGTTCAGCTTTTATGCAAATTGATGACGAAAGGTGTTGACTTAGCACATTATCATCGTGAGGTAACATACAGTGTGTTTTGTGCCATGTCGTTATGATACTATGGGTGGTATGTGAATATTATATCTGTCGGATACGCTATATGCTTGTAAAAGTTGCTGTAAAGTCATAGGCAAACCACTAAGCAAATGTAATGAAGATCGTCATTGATACTGTAACAAATAAATAGGAAGGATCTATAACTTTTAATGATGCATGGTATACAACTTATTGTGAGCCCGAAGATTTACGGTATTTGTAAGAGTGCACAAAGGATATATACCAAACTTTCAACTCTTACGTATCATTGTATGTAAACGATGCAATAAGTTGTACCTCAAACGTGTTTATTGCAATCTAGCCTGTCTTAAGAGAGGAAGAGGGGTTGCTACTTGAAGTTAGTCACCGGCCAGATACACCGTTCTATATGTACTTATGTCTTACCTCGCAACTGTCTTCGACGGGGGGGGGCAAAGTATGTCCTTTCCCCGGAACAGACGGGTAGACTGACCGAGTTCCTTCCGAACGACGTAGTCGTACCTCGTGGATTGCATATTGAGTACTATTTTAATACGTTCCTAGACTTAAATATTTTTTCTTTCTTCTTGCCTCAAATTATACCTCTTTTTGCAATTGTTCAGGAGCAGCCGAGTCTTTAACATCCGAGGTCTACCGATGAGAGACCGAGGTCACTCGTTGTGGGACCGAGGTCACCTTAAGAAATACTGGGTCAATCAAATGAGGTTTCAGATGTCTTAGGGAAGGAATGAGGTCTATTTGTGGGGACAAGATCCATCAATGAGAGCGTGTAGTTATTTTTTTAGGCACCACTTGATTGGTACACGGGCAGTGGTCTTCTCCTTGATTGTGAATAAGGGTCCTTCTTCCCTTAGGGTCTAGCAAATCTTGTAGGCCCTTCTTTCTCAGAAACGCTTTCTCTGAAGGAACCCTCATGTCCATCGATTGCAAAAACTTTCGGTCCTTCAATTTATAATTTACTTTGCCACACCGTAATGACAGCATGGTCGAAATTGGCGATGGCGATAGAGAAGATGAGGGCGTCGCGGTGAAGAAGGATTCCAAGGTAGCCTTGCAGACAGTCAAAATGATCACGCTGTTTGTTCTGAGCGACAAAGGCTCTATGTATTACACCGTCAATATCTGGCACGCCATGCGCTTCGAGCTGCCCCATGGGACCAATGTCGCTATCATCATGAAATCCCGGCAGCTAATAAATCCCATTGAGCACACCAAAAACCGGACGAGTATGGCTCATTTGACCGGCGTCAACAGCTACATTGCCAGCCAGTACGTTCGGTTATTGACGGCACAATCTGCTGCACATCGCCGACCTACTTGAACACAACTCTGTCTGGGCATATCGCCGGCTGACGATAAAGCACGCATCCTGGACAGTATGTATATTATGTGCACGTGTCCGTTCACTTCGGCCGCAAGCTGGTCGATATGCATCTAGTCTTCACCCCTTTTTTCGACAGATGCGAGATTGATGACGTTTTTGACTGTCTGGTGAATTTTTCAACGCGCGCTACGAGCCGTAACGCTCAAAGCTCGTAAGCATGTTATTGCCAAGTGATTTTTGATAAATAATGGGCCTAGAGAATATTGCGACAAGAGGACACGGCCCCAACTTCAAACAAAGCGATCCTAAAATAGAAAGAGTCATAAAAGCGCTTGAACTTTCCGGGAAGTGAGGCCCGCAGAACCAACCGAGGAGGAGACCGTTGCCCATTTACCGAATGAGCGGTGCTGAAAGAAAATGACTACAAACTCTCCTAAATTAACCCGATCCACAAGAGTGAAACGCGGACCCTCATTAAAGACCTGGTCTCTCACTATTAGACGGGTTTATGATCGGTAAGCCTATTTTCCTCCGATAAGGACTTTGATCCCTCACTGATAGACCTGGGTCCTCGTTGTGTGCCTTAGTCCCTCATCAGTAGACCTCGGTCCCTCATTAGTGGACCCGATCTATGATCAGGTGACCTGGTCCCTCATCGGTAGACCTTGGATGTTTAAGATTCGGCTGCTCCTGAACAATTGCAAAAAGGGCCAGAACATTAGACAAGGAGAGACTAAAGAAGTTTGAGCATTTAGGAACACATTAAATAGTACTTAATATGCGATCCACGTGGCACAACTTCGTCGGTCAAAAGGAACTTGGTAAGTCTACCTGCTTGTTCCGGGGAAAGGATATACTTTTCCTTACCCCCCGTTCAATACAGTTGCGAGGTAAGACATAAGCACTTATAGAGCTTAGAAAGTATCTGGCCGGTGCCTTTGTCAATCATCAACAACCCGCTCAAGACCCGCTATCGGAGGCAACCTTCCTACCATAATTTTATGGAGTGAAGTGAAGGCCAGGAGGTTGACTCTTTTAATACAAGAAGCAAATAACCAGGAGGGACAAGCACCCGAAGAACTTGGTAATCGGTACACTCTTAACTGAATCGACCGAGTAGCCAATTACCTGCCCACCCAGTAGTGTATATTCAATTGGGACCCAGGTCTACATCTGTCAAGACCGAAGCATTTCCCTCTCCTTCCGAGTCGACCTACGAGTGCAACCCTCCAGAAGGCGGGTACACAAGGAGATTTAAGGTCCATACGTGTAATCAGAGTATCCCCCTCCTTAAATCGGCAGTCCGACACTATGTTTCTTTTGGGGGCTAAACACGCATTTTTGCGAACCCAAGCCTTGCAATGGTGCGCATGTTCTGATCTTAAGAAGGGACGGGATTTCACCGCGTCTATTAGCGAGAAGAAGATAATTAATCCAAGATTGAGCATATCGAAGCATTACTGGAAGACCTATCGCCATTGACTGAAATGGAAACTAACAAAAATTGAAGGACCGACCGGTGTTTGGTGGGAGGGGGGGTATTCAGCAATTTTATAGTTGAACTTATCGAAGAGAAACCTAGATATAATCCCTTAGTCCTCTTTAAGAACACCTTGTGTCATGATATCGACTTTAACCGAGATACCAACATCCGAAGGCGAAAGCCGAGCAAAACGTTTCTGAAACAACATTAGACACCTAAATGTCAAAGCCGAACAGTTTAGAATGAAGGCGCCAGGCGACACGAAGTAGGTCGGTCCTTAGCCACAAAGTCCCCACTGAAAGTCTGCCGGCCCCGAGAGATCATGGCTGCTGACCTGGTCGGACGCTAACACCAATATTGCTTACCACCGCTGTAATTTTGATTTGTTCTTTTAAAGCGACCCTGTTACGATTTATCTCCGAGATAAGGCTGGAAGGACAGCTTTGTAGACCACTTTAGATTATTTCAATGATGCGGAAAACCATAGACGCTATCATTGCGCAAGTCCCCCTCCTTCCTGAAGCAGGCAGTTTGCTGGAAAGGGTTGAAGCCGAATGTCTTGTTTGAAGTGGGGTTTGACGGCATGACAAAAACTTTAGGGGAACTGCACAAACATTCGGAGATCGTTGACGGTATTAAAAAAGCACAGCGCAGCTTATCCCCCGCGAAAAACCCGTAAGAATCGTAGAGAGGTTATTGGGCGACACTCAAGGACAAAGAGGTACACCCTATAGCACATGCAGTGACACGGGACGCAAGGTAGATAGGACAACAACCTCGCAAGGCCCGGTCTCCACGTGTCCAAGAACTCGTCACAAAGGTCATCAGCTCTCAGCCTCGTCACCGGAATGTCATTGAGGTCTACAATTGCACCTTTTATTCAGGCTTGTGCGCGGGACTAGCCGGAGGACCAGACCTCTCGCGAATAGATGACGCGAGCACACAAAATGGAAATGCCGGCTCATAATAGGCTGACATTTAACCCAACAGTAGATCAAGCAAATTTTTTAAACCTTTACACCACCGCGTGGCGAAGATGCTGGACTTAGCATCCACCGACTCGTTAGGCAATCTGCAGACTTTCTTGAATGCAGCGATGTCATTGTTTCTTTGAGAACAACAATTGACACCTAATCTCCCCAAAGAGATTAGACCAGAAAGAGACAGGAGTGCAAACTGCAATAGCGTTAAGTGTTCCATGTAAATATTGCCAAGCCCAGAGAAACCTACAATGTACCGGGGCACCCTTAGTCTAGGTGCCACGAAACTTCACGTACACTAGTACGGGCAGAGGAATCTTATCTACTTAAACGACTCGTTTAAGTAAGGGTAAAAAGAGAACCGAATTTTAAATAGTTAAGCTATCAATACAACCTGTATCTGTATCTAACTAAAGTAAACTACGCCGTCGTATGGCGACAACCTGCTCACCACTTGCGCGAGTCTAGCAGTGATTGGTGGCAATCTATGGTTGATATGTCTTATATCAACCGATCTTGGAGCAGCTCATGAATTTTATCCTAAAGGGGATAATATTCCTTCAATATTATCCATCTCGGATACTATCGGTAGAGAATTGTCACGCTAGACAATATCTCTATTGACACCGTTTGGTGTCAATTTCATGTAACGGGCTACCCCGCTACATCCACTCCCCCCTAACCATCAATCACCCGTTGATTGAATTATAATTGATCGGGACAGGGTGACCACCACTGGATCACACTGGGAAAGGGAGCACTTGTTGGTCAAATACCACTCATTTGTCAATCCAACGCATGGTTTCGAAAATTACGCGAGCTGCTACTGCAGCAGCAAGAAGATCGGCTGCACGCATGCGTGCGGCCGTGGAAAGTGCCTCTCACACCTCAGCAGCAGGTGATTCATTGCCTGTTGTCGTGAACACTCCACGTGGTGAGTCACCACGTGCTAAAGATACATCCGCTGCGTCTGCAGCGGGTACCTCGGGTCGTAATCGAGACGAGGCTGAGATCGAGCTCATCTATTTTGGCGAGTCGGATGATGCATCCGACTCGAAGGTTACACCTTACGCCTCCGATATACCCGGGGCGGACACTTCAAGAGACAAATTGACTGGCTCTGGCCAACGTGGCGGCATCATGCTCGAGATCTTCGGATCGAGCGTTTTTCGATGATTTCTCACCTCACGCGAGTCCATCCAACGATAAGACGCGTGGTGATGGTGGCGATGCCTCTAAGCATCACCACGAGCGAAGTAGCTCGAGGGATAGAGCTGCCACTGGTGTCAGTGCTCACGCTGGCATCAATTAAGAGGCCAGTGATCGAAATGTAATGCGCCACGCTCCTCGAGTGGAGTCTCCTTGGATGTCGTCATCCAAAGAGTTAGATCGAGTGGCCAGTCTGAAAACTGAACGGAATCGATCCCCGTTGTTTGTGTGGTATATTGGTCAAAGGAAATTTTGACCAATCGCCTTGATCACCTCGTAAGTGCATGTGGTACCGGTCATGCCGGTCTTGGGACTGACCGCTACAGAAATCCCCAATGATAAGCTGGACGGTCTGCAAGTCATCAGTTGCAGTCACAAATATGACCACCGGTGAGGGTTACGACGAATAACTGACCGGTCATGGTCACTATGGGCGACCAGTAGTCACTGTCATGATTGGTGACCAGTAGTCACGGTCACGATGGGTGAACAGTGGTCATCTGTCATGATTGGTGACCAGTAGTCATCGTCACGATGGGTGAACAGTGGTCACGGTCACGATGGGTGACTAGCGGTCATGGTCACGATGGGTGAGCAGTGGTCACGGTCACGATGGGCGACCAGTGGTCATGGTCACTGCAAGATGACCAGCGGTCGTGCTGGCAGATAAGGTGGTTTACTTCAAGCACAAAGAATGCGTAATTGCAGTCGAGCAACGTAGCAGAAAACTGAGTCAAAGGGAAGTGTAAACGTAGTTCTATCCCCTGACAGGTTAATAACGAACAGTATTGATTTCCCTACAAAAGACACGCGTCAGCATTCCTCCGGGCTGGAATACTAGTGGCCAACCGACGTACAAGGTTTACTGTCTACGTGTTTGATCAAGGTTTGTCTCTAAATTGCTTGGCTAGGGACAAGTATACTCATTCAAGTTAGCCCGCGATCGGACGCGGCAAGCATACAAGGCAAGGTCTTCAGACGGCTCAAGTGATCAGAAGGATAAGGTGATCAAGTGGTCCGAAGAACAAGGGGGATCGAGTATCCACATTCGGGCAAGGCGACCTTAAGGAAGGTCAGGCAACTCTAGGAGAGTGCCACCAGTAACCGTCGGTCGTGTGAAGAATTACCACGCGACCACACCCCACCTATCATCAAATCGGTCAAGACAAGACATCGAACTCAAGACACCTAAAAGAGTGCAACCGCCCGCCGACGGGTACACAAGGTGAACAGGAACAAGACAAAAAAGACACACGGTTCGGAGTACCCCCTCCGTTAGCCGGTCGTCCGAGCGCAAGTGTGGAGTCAGGATCGTAAATGAGCGAATCTTACTCCACCGCATTTGACTGTAGGAGGATCCTTTTTCCTGATTCCAGCACGGAAACTATTCGTGCTGAGGAAATTTCCTTACCGATAAATTTTTCAAATATCGATGGTACAATGGCAGCCGTGACCGAGACGGTAAGGCCTTGGTGCAAGGATGGAATGCCCTCATCCATAACGTCGAGTGCATTGGCCGTGAGGCCTGGCTCGCCAAACTTGACGCAGCTTGCATCAGGTTTGAAAAGCGCAGCTTAGTCGGGGTGCAATGCAAGTTGCACCGGCTTTCAAGAGAGGCAGGATTACCCTGTCTTTCGTGGGGTGACTCGTGTCCAGGTTGCCTGGACAACTCGAACCGTGCCCCTTGGGAGGCCTACATCCGTAATGATCCCTGCTGGAGGGCGTGCATCTCTTCTGAGATGGCCGAAGGGATTGACACTTTGCAATCCCTGTACTCGCGTTCGGGGAGGCCATTTTCCGACGGCCCTTCTTCAAACGAAGCGGGTGGGTCTCGTCGTACTGCTCGACGAGACCAAGGACATCAACAATCAGCTGGGCACGAGGCTCCCAGCTGTCCCACGCCGGTGGAAAGCCACGCCAGCGGACGAGGTAGCTCGTCCGGACGGCTTAAACATCGCGGTGGTTCAAAATACGCTCCATTAGAAATCGTTGACCACCGCCTGAATCCATTAAAGGATGTGTGGCGGCGAGAACACCTGATCCGGCTCGAAGGTCGGATCAGCTTGATGTTCAAGAGCTGAACCGTGAAACGGAAAAGTTGCAAGATGACCTGGCTCACGAACGGACTCGGCGTTATGGGCTTGAGGATCTTGTTAGGGATAATTACAGTTCCCTAACGCACTTTCGTCGGACGATCGTGTCGCTTTTGCGTTCACGCAACTTGAGAACGAACGTTTGAGTTTTTCTCTTCGTGACGAGCTGGCTGTAGCATGTCGAGACATCGCTAAATTGCGTGAACAGGTCACTTCGCTAGTCGACCAGACTGGCTCGTTGAAACGGGACTACTCGAAGGTGGTCTCGGCTCTCGACCGCGGAGGTGTTCTTCGCATCTCGAAACGGGCTCGTACTGATAGTACGGACGGAGACGACCGACGTAGAACGTAGGATGCGTGCGCATTTTACGGGACAGTTAAATCGTGTATGCGTTGCCCGTTCGGTGTAACACACTGAATGTACCGATGTTATTGGGCAGTAATTTACTGCTGCCCACATTTGTCACTGCGTGTTTCGGTAGGTTTACTGTGGAAAGTAAAATTAGGTCTCCTTCATCAAATGAAAGAACATTTGCTCTTCCATGTTTGTCTGCATTTTTCTTCTGTCTGTCTACTACATCTGCAATAGAGTCTTGAAAGAAGCGGACTACCGCTTCCCGAGTCAGCAAAAACTCCTCTGCTGATTCATCCTTGTCAACAGCAGTGCGCTTCGTGTGCAGTGCTGAAAGAACGTTGTCTTCACCAGTGAGGGTGTCATCGTCCTCACTTTGGCAGTCATTGACGATGCTGAATATGCCAGCATCGTCGTCATCATCATCATTTTTCGATCGCATCGACATCAACATCCATCACGTCGACACCATTGTCGACGGGTGATGAGCAAGAAACAGATCGGGTTCTGTTCGAGCGAGTCCACCCCCTCCCTTAAACTGGAGTCACACTCTAAGAAGGCGGATACACCTGGATGGCGTAGGCCATTCACGAAGAAAGGTGTATGCGTTGTCGACGCGTGCACCGAGTTGTTGATGATGAATTCCGTCATCGGAAAGAACTCACTCCAGCTCGTAAACGAGTGGACATGCCCTCGAATTATCTCTTCGAGGACGCGGTCAGCCCGTTTCGTCTGACCATCTGTTTCTGGATGGTCAGAAGTTGGCATCTTTACACGTGTACCAAGTGAACGGAACACGGATTGCCAGAACTCCGCCGTAAAGCGGGTGTTCCTATCGGACACGATTTTGCAAAGTAGCCCGTGAAGTCGGACGATAGTATTGATGACGACACGCGCACAGCCCTGGGCTGTGATTGACTCCGGTACAGCAACAAGATGTACCATCTTGTTGATCCGATCAACAAATACAAGAATACAAGTATTTTTGTGAGCGCCTTTGGGAAACCCAAAGACGAAGTCCATCGATACGGACTGCCAACACACTGCTGGAATCGGAAGAGGCTGCAGAGGTGCGCGGGATGAAGGACTAGGCTTCACCCGTTGATAAACTTCGCAAGCGCGAATGTATTTCCGCACAAATTCATACTGGCGGGGCCAGTAGAAGTCACGACTCACCATGATGTAAGTCTTTTCTCTACCGCGATGCCCACTTGTTGGGGCATCGTGATACTCATACGTGATGCGCAATCGCAAATCATATGAGCCGGAACGACGACACGAGGTGTGTCGCCGCTAACTGCTGCATAGTACAGCAGTCCATCACGAACAGAATACCGTTCGGTTGAAGAGCGGTATTGATACGACAAGCTTTTCGAAGCTTGTTTACACGGATTGGATGCTTAATCCATAAACCGCAGGAAAGACTCATCTTCTGCGTACGCTTTTCGCACATCGTCGAGCAGATTCGACGACGGAATACTCACTGTTAGTGTCGAGACAGTGGGATCACCCCTACTGTGGTGTTGAGAAGTCGGCTCGAAATCGGGCCGACGTGAAAGAGCATCAGAAACGACATTAAGTCTTCCTGCTTTATACTCGACGGAGAAGTTGTACTACGCGAAGAAAGACAGCCACCTCGCCATTCGTTGCAAATAGGTGTGGACTGTTAACGGCCGTGCGTAACGACTCCTGATCGGCGTAAACGATGAAGGGACCATCTCCTAATAGATATATTCGAAACTTAGCCAGTGCATATTTCATGGCAAGGAGTTCCTTGTCATGCACCGGATAATTTTGCGTCTCTGCTTGCAGCTGAAGCGATTAATAATAGACGACGCGCTCAACGCCGTCTGAGTCGTACTGCATTAACGCAAAGCCGATTGCAAAATCGCTGGCATCACAGACCACATGAAACGGTCTATCCTGATCTACAATTGCCAACACAGGCGATTGCACCAAGCTTTACTTGATGCCTTCAAAAGAGTGCTGACACTCAGCGCTCCATGACCATATCTCGTTTTACTTTAGTAGACGAGAGAGATGTACAGTCATCTCGGCATAGTTGCGCGAGTATTTGTGCAAATACGCTGCCAAACCAAGGAGCTTTCGAAGTCCCTTGACGTCGACTGGCTCAGGCCAGTCGCTAATCGCCTTGATCTCCGGATCAGGCGTACACTGTGTTTACCAAGAAGTGGTATTTCGTTCGCTGCGAATATACACTTCTTGAGGTTCGCGAACAGCTTTTGCTCTCGCATTAGTGTAAGAGTCTTCCGGACGTGGATTCTATGAACCTCTACGTCCGTCTTTCCATCCATAACCCGGCTATGGACAAAGACATCGTCCAAGTGACTCGGTGCGAAATCGCGCAACGATCGCAACAGGTTCGTAACACATCTGATGACCGTTGCAGGGGCGTTATTTAGCCCCTGTGGCATTACTAGCCACTCCCAGAGCATACCACTGGGGGTGCTCACTGCTGTGTAAGGGATATCCCGTTCACGCATGAGGATCTGATAGAATTC